TTTCCTACACTACAAGAAAGATTTAAGTGTTTGATGAGCTCCCAATAGCTCAAGGGAATTTAAAAGGTCATTTTACATGCTAATTTGAGAGGGAAGAAAAACAAAATGGAACTCTGAACATACACGTAAAATGTAAAGATGAAGCTGCTGTTGTGGAATTGAGAGGAGTGGATGATGAGATAGCGATGTCAGGTTCTGGTGCAGCCAACAACATGCAGGTGTGAACAAATCATAGCATCTAGGTTACTCAGACACCGCGTTTTGGGTGCCGTGTTTTGAGTGCTGTGTCTGTGTCTGACACCCGTCGGACATGGATTCTCCATGGACACGTGTGGTTCTATACCCTAAACTAGTTTTTTGATAATATTGGGTTCAATACCAATCGGCTTTTTAACTCAAAAACTGAAACCCAGACGCTCATCGTATTATCCCATATGATCAAAACTAAAGTTTTGTTAAACCTTATTCTTAGTTTGATTTACCTTGATTCTTAATTGTTATGGATAATAAAAACACATGCACACGCACGCGCATGCGCACACCCACACATATATAGCCATGTCCCTGTATCCTACATTTTACAAATTTGTCATGTTCGTATCTGTGTCCGTGTCCGCGTCCACATCCGCATCTATGCTACCTAACATAGCATGTTGCATGTGAGGAACAAGAGGGACACATGATGGTAGATGGACACCTTGTATGAACAATTCTCAACAAATCGAGCCAACCCCAAAGAGGTGGGATGGAGCCATAATAGTTTTTTAGTTAATGATAACACTTCATTTCACGGAGAATTTAACAAATAGCAAGTCCTACATAAAATATCAATCCCCTGCATATCATTTATAATTTTCACTAACATGAAACAAGCAAAAGCAACCAATATGATGATTGTAATTTATACAAAAATATACAAATCTGTGAAGACCATATTTAGAACCCTATTATTTGAACCTTGAATATTTCTTAGGTAATACAACATGAATATTATTTTACAGCAGAGGAAAGGAGATAATTAAATTGATGTATCTCAATTAGACCATGGGAATTAAAAAGTGTTGATTTTACAAACCTCGGCGGAAAACAAGGAGCGACATAGTCATAAATATCTCCAAGCTCATTAGCGATCTAGAACAAGATAGACAACTGGAAAACAAGGAGCGACATAGTCATAAATATCTCCAAGCTCATTAGCGATCTAGAACAAGATAGACAACAATATTACAATGGATAGAAATATCCTAAATATCTCCAAGCTCATTAGCGATCTAGAACAAGATAGACAACAATATTACAATGGATAGAAATATCCGCATTCTGTCTGACATTCCAAAGCTAAAAAAGTGCAATTAAAACTTCAAAATAATTCAGAGCACCAATAATAGAACCACAGACAAAAGAAATCCTTTAGACGTATACAACCGGTCCTCAACAGGAATCCAAAATCCCATAAAGTTTCACCATGTTAAGCATAAGCACCATCAAGAACGTAAGTGCAGTTCAACCAACCAAAGACAAGGTAAATGAGAAAGGAGCCCCATGTTCAGAATACAAAACTGCCTGTCACAAATTTTGATGCAACCATACTGGTTCATAAGAAGGCACTTCAATAGAGGCCAGGCAATCGAATTATTTCAATTGAACGGTTGCCAGAAGCTGAGATCAAACTGCATAAACTTTGAAAACATCCTAAATAGTAGAAGAAAGATTAAACTGATATAGACAACATATATACTCTAGTTAGAATTAGACCCTCAAGGCCTCAGGTTATTGTGGTTTGTGGAATGTCAAATTCCTACCTCTCTGGAATGTGGTTCCACTTACCAGATTCAGGTGAATATTACATTACCATAATGGTATGATTTGAAAAGGGTGAGTGTTGGCACAACGGTAAGGTTGCTGCCTCGTGACCGGGGTGTCACCAGTTCGAGTATTGGAAACAGCCTCTATGCAGGCGGGACAATGAATGGGATTCATCAAGAACAATATTGGGATAGGCACACCTCATCCATAAAGTCTATCTACCATGTCCTTGTCTACCATTTGCAGTTAAGAAATACACACTGTATCCAGAGCATGATATTTTACACTTGGTTCATTTGGAAAATTTCTTAGAGATTCAGGTAAGTAAAAATAATGGATGTGGGAATAACAAACCAGGTGAATTTTAACGGCAAAAAGAAAAGAAAAAGAAAACAAGACTGCATACCTCTCTAGCTTCTTCTAGAGCAGCTTTTAGATCCTCAAACACAAACTGCATGAATAAGTTTATAGAGAGGAAAATAATAAATGAACTGGGAAACATAAACGAACATATAGCCAGGTTAATAAGAAAGTGAACAGAATATAAAAGGCTGGCTTCTCCCAAAGGAGAGGGAAAGTTAGAACCTATTCTAGAAGACAGGATACCTACCTCCTTAAGCAACTTGTCAAAACGGGCCTCAACAGTTTTCCTGATATACTCATAGCACTTATCTTTAAAACATTTGCCCTGGCCCTTTAACTTTTCTTGAACAACATTCTTGGGAGTTGCTGTACCACCTGTACCCTTTCTGCCAAATGCAAGTAGAGGAATATGTATGGTAAGCAAAAGTACTTCCAGATTTCCAGTCAAAAGAAAGTTTACAAGGCAAACTATTAAGGACCTATATACAAAGGGTCAGAAAGAGAAGTTATCAATGGTTTATGTTACAGTTAACCACTAACAGCAGCAGCAGCATTAGAATCATAAATATATAGTGTACATTAACTCCTTAACACCGTAATCATCAAATCTTACTTGCAACTATATGGGATCAGCATCAAGGATATGAGGAAGGAGACTAGTAGTAAGACAACAACAACGACAACAACAATGACAACAACAACAATGATAACATCAAGAAAGTGAAATGTAAAAGCATGAAAAAAAGATGGACATCATATCTGAACAAATTCATCATCCACTAAATGATAAGCTCCGCAAATCAGAGTGCTTCCACAGAAACACTTAGAAAGTGCTTGACAAGGTATCATAGAAAAAGTCAATGGAACAACTAATGTAGAACAATCGGGCTCTTTGTAATTACATCCATGGTCTCCTTTAGCAATTCACACCATCTCCTTTTCATCTAGAATTTTTTTATGGTCTATGAAGAATTCTGAACAAATAAGTACATATTCCTATTCCTTAACATGCCAGAAATTCTATGGCATAGCCTCTATTGCTCATAATCTCCTTGAAGAAAACAATGAGCTGCTTTCTGCCTAGTATCTCAACAACAGACCAATGGCTTCTCCAATCTGTTGCATCAGTTAGTCTACACAGACAATGAATATGAGGAAAATGTAAATTGGGATGTGTGTGCATGCACAAACATACAGATCTACAAAAAGATCATGACAACTAAGCCTAGTATTGCTACTTTTTGTCTTGCACAATAATCTGATGCCGTATTCTCTCTGCTTGTTGAGATGATCATAATACACAACTTGTGGCACAGGTTTCAAAATGGTATCAGAAGAGACATTCATCCACAAAAAAATTGTAAATGCCAGCATGTGCATGTAAATTGGAACCCGAGGTCACAAAATTGACACCCAAGAAGTACTTGTACTAATAGAATTTTCTGCATGTAGAAACTTCGACCACAAACTTTACCACCAAGAACAAGACGCGGAAGCAAAGATGGTAATTATGAAAAAGGATATTAGAATAACAATCAAGAGATCCCTCATCATCAACTTTGGTCAACTGTATGCTGTGTAATGACTTTTTGTTCGATTATTCAAAGTCTGAAACCAAGACTAACTTCTTCACTAGAAAAGCGTCAAAGCAAAGAAAAGGCAGCCAGGAGCTCAAAACCCCCACCCTGGCAGAGATATGGGGACCATCAGCTGCTAAATGTCAAATAGCAAAGAAGCTCTATGTGGGTTAAACTGCGACCACTAGGTCAAAATGGAGAAAACCTTACCATTGTCCAAAAGCTCAACATCAAAGCAGTATTAAAATGGTAAGTTTAAACCACTTTTTGCATCATGAAAAATCAATTGAAGAGTAAAGTTTTTAGCCATTACTTTGCCGATCTGCGTGGATTTGCAATTGATGCCATAGTGCCCCCTCCCTCTGCCTCAGCCGCCTCTTCAGCTAGTTGCTGATCCAGAATTTCTTGCATTTCAACAACTCTGCCATATAAAAAATGAAAGTTCATGACATGATTATTTTAATTCAGTTAAAATGCAGAAGAAAGGAGTAACATTATACATAACCTACCTATTATATTACAAATATTATGCACTTCTAATACTTTTAAAACTACAATATTAATTTCTTATCGACCAGCCGAGCTTAACAGTATAAGCATGAAAACTTTCCTCCTCTATAAAGAAGACAAAAGCTCTTTAGATATGATTTCTAAATATGATCAACTGATGCTAACAAGCTAGTGTGTTGTTCAAGAAACATGAACCCAGAGGGGCGCAATTGTGCATCTTTCGCTAGTTTCAGTCATTTGTTTCTTTGCAACTAATAGTTGTAGTTGCAAATAAGCCTTTGAGTTGCAACTCGCAGTTGCGAACAAAAATGAACTGCAAGAGGTGTTTGAGTTGCAACTGCAGTTGCAGTGTTTATTTTATTGCTGTTTAAAGTAATAGTAATGACCTACTTATTACAGGATAAAACCTCACAAGAAATAAGAATCCATAGCAGTGGCAGTAAAGAATGTAAGAGAAAGTGAAAATAATGGATTATACCTTACAGCTCGGACCAGAGTCTGTGGACTGCACAACAGGTACAGATACCCATCAGAAACAGCAAATAGAATATGAAAATAAAATAAATATGCAAAATAGGCTGTCCGTACACAGTTCATAGACAAAATAACTATTCTCTGCAGAATATACGAAATAGATTGCATAATGCATGGTGAACCAATATAACAACTAAAACATATAGTTGCATGTTCATTTTATGCAAAAATGATACTGTAACCTAATAAATGGGAAAACTACTTGAGTAAACATTTGATCATGATGACATCCATGCAGATAACTGTATGCATCATCAATAAACAAGGGAGTTTCTTATTTAGAAGCTTGAAGAACAATCGTGTGCAGGCCTTTTATGTCATTCAATTAAAACTATTAAATCCAGGAGCAATCCTCCAAATCCCCAACTCAAGGAAAAGTGCACAGAGAGATAATATAATATTCTATACATGGAGCAAAACTGTTTGGCTGAATAACCAACTATGCAACTAATTAGTACAGACTACTTGGAAAAATCAGATAGAGGGAATGATAGCCATAAAACAGTTAGCCTGAATACCAACCAGTCAACCACGCAACTAATATAAATTCATTGAAGTGGGAAAAAAAAACACAGCCATACCTTTCTTTGGCGAGCTTATAGAAGTTAGAAATATGACCCCACAATGTCTTTTCAAACGTCTCCCATGTCCGGTCTACATCTTCAAAGTATTCTCTGCAAACATCATCAAAAATAAATAAGTAAAAGAACAATTAAAAAGATACCAAGTTATATATGCATATACATACATGCATATACGTATATACATCTATATATTATTCCTATGCAAGAAAACCTTGAGGCTACAGCCTATCCAAAAGGCTAAAATGTGTACAATTGTGCATGCCCTTGACGTGCACCTAACTTGTCAAATGCAAATTGTGCCATCCTATCTGGCTGGCTGCAACCAATGTTGTCACAGCCTAAAAGGTTTCTGAACAGAAAACATAGTCAATTCGGGTTTTTTCAACTGTGGGCACAAATTGGTTGAACCAGGTATATATAGCAGGGGGCATGCTTCAGTTGTATTGTTAATTTATATTGATATAGGAAATATGGTTTGTACTAAATGTAAGTCATTACCTGAAATGTTTAGTTAATGGGTCATACTGAATCTGGTTGGTACCTGCTGGCATAAGTTGGAATCAAGATATTTTGTTAAACTCGACATGTCAGAGTTACTCTTTTGAAGTCACGATCAGTTCATGCGGTTGACATCTGGCCATTTGAAGCATTTGTGATTCTTTAATGTCATAGACCAGTGAAGTTACCAGTTTATGTCAAACCCAATCCAACCAGTCAGTCAAATCACGTTGTTAGCATCACTATAAAAGCAGGTGTCTTGTTAGCAGCATAATCTTGATTATCAAAACCCACAATTGTAGTTACATGACAAAGAAGCACCTAAGCACAACCACCTAAGGAAACTGGTTGAGGTCAGTAACAGAGAACTAAACAAACTCAAAACCAAGTTGATTTGCGATTAACGATGCAATATGGCATGCAAGAGCTTCTGTTTTGACCTTAGCCTGCCAACCTCCTCTTTGTGTGATTCTGCAGCTGCCAGTGCAAACCGCCTCTTACCATCAAGTGCTGTCAATTTCTTAAAAATTGTACAAAAGGCTAGAATTAGCAATACATATATTAATTGTTTCCTAACTCCTAGAAAACATCCAAAGTCGGAAATATTATATAAAACTATGATACCTCATATGTATGAATTAGTTCCCTGTCATCACTTAAAGAATCACGAGCTGCAGCTGCTTCAACAGATATGGACATCATTCCACCCACATCCTAAGAAATCTAAGCAATTAGCAGCATTATAACACATAGAAACGAGAGGAGTTCTTAATGATCAGTTCTCCATACAGGTTTAAAGTGTAAACTAGTAGAAGCATATCTAAGAATAGGTTACGAGGAGACGCAAGTTGTTTTTGGTTAAAATTACTGATTACGAATTAATAGGTAAATGAAAAAGACACCAGAAGCAGAAGGAACAACAAAATAAATCAAATTAGAAAATTTCGGTTTTGGTTTGCACAATTTGAAAACCAGAATAGTGTGAGGATATCAAGATAGTCTAACCAACCTTTAGTGAATAGTGTGAGGATATCAAGATAGTCTAACCAACCTTTAGTGTTGTGTTCAAGTTGTTCCTTGCATTGCTAAGAAGTTTTATCCTGTCGTGATTTTCTATCAGCGTTTGACACTCTTGGCACAACCTGACATGTCACATACCGGCGATTTAAAATGTATGGCAATATTAAAAAAGAATTTCACATATGATAATATGGAAGGAAATCCGCAATTAGTACACATAAAATATATCAAACAATGCCTAGACCCGGACCAAGGCTATACCTTTCAATGGACACAAAGTTTTCACGGATCTGGTTTATTGTCTTCTGAGATGAAGTGAGAGCATCTATACCAGCATGTGCTTGCTCAACCTGCATAAAATGTTAAAAAATTGTCAACAACAAATTTAAACAGATTGGAAAACGTGTGCAATCCTCACAAAGGGAAAAGGAGAACGACCAAGGGAGGAGAGTATAAACAGTTTGTAAAGCTGAAATCATATTTAGCATTATGGCTATTCAACAGTAGCAGATTTCAGCAATGGGTTGGGGGAAAATTAGCATTTTATTGCAGAAAAGAGAAATTCTTACCTGCTCAGCAACCATTGTGCTCAATTGTGCATCATTCGCCTGAAAAGCACAGGAAAATATGAGTACTTGTTATATCTTACAAGTAAAAGCATTTTTTATTCGTCTCATGCATTACGACCTAAAGTCTACAATTCTAAGCAAACAAAGGTTTCCCTGTCTAACAGGTGCAGTGCAATTTCACTGAATGCTCGAAGTATCCCCATAGAAATCTCACTGAAAAACTAAATTTTGGGATGAAAAAGGTCAGCTGTTATCCTTGTTGCTGATTTTAATGCAAAAACTAACAAACCACTACATGAGCTCACTCAGATTCAATCTACAACAGCTCGAGATCAAGGTAATTGCAAAAAACAATCAAAATTTCGTCGAATTAGGGCAAATTTCAACAGGGAAAAGATCAGGATTCGAGATTCGAGACCTGTTGACGAGAGAGATAGTCGGATTTGATGGAAGCGATGGAGGCGACGAGCTCAGGAAGCGGGAGGAGCTTGGCGACCTCGCGAACGGCCGCCTCCTTTGCCTCGATCTCTTCCATTTCTCGATCGATTCGAGGAGGAAGAAGATGAGTTTAGAGTGATATGGTTTATTTTGTTAATTTTGGGGGGATTTCAGTGTGAGAATTTGATCGTTGGGAACGAATCAAGTCTTCGCAAGGATCTCAGCGGAATGGAAAGGGCCTAAGGTCTGACTCTGAGGGGAGATCCGGGTCGGATCTTGCAACGGCTTTGTGGATCCATTTGGATGAGTGGTAATCTTTTCTCTTTTATTTCTTTCGTCTTCCCAACAAAATATAAAAGGACAAAATTTTAAAAACAACATTTTTTAAATTTATTTTGCGAAAACGACCCTTTGAAAAAATAATGAGCAAAACCGACTATTTTCTGTTGAAAGGATCGGTTTTGCTGGCGAAACACTAAAATGAAGTGTATGAGACTACTAGTCCTGTACACTTCATTTTAGTGGTTTAAAGTCGGGACTGCCCACCCCCCCCTCCCCTCTTCATCTCCTGCTCATCACTGCGGTTGCGTTAAGTAAAAGACGTTCGGGCTAAGAAGACGCTCCTCCTCCACCGTTTCTTTGCTCGCTCTCTCTCTCTCTCCCTTCAACCACCAGAAGCCACATCCAAGCTCCTTGCCCACCCATAGGTGGCGCGCCGACAAAACTTAACCGGCGACGCATCGAATGTGGGAGACTGTCGAGTCCCTCACAGCTCCGTCTAAACACCATCGAACCAGTCCCCCTGCAACTCGCGAACCGCCGCTACGAAGAACCGCCGACGATACCCAAGCTCTCCTCCTGCGACCCACGGCCGCTCAGTCTCGAGCATCACCCTCCTCCGAGCTCACCTCAGGCCTCGCCGCTGCTCCGCCCTTCAGCCTCCTCCTCTGTCGACTTTACGTTTATCTTCGCCACCCATCTCTGACAAGCTTCACCGCCACCACTCCCATCTCCTCCACCGCAGACTCAACCTCGACAAGATCCGCCTTAACCACAGTCCCGACTTTTAAATCCACTAAAATGAAGTGTACGGGACTAGTAGTCCCGTACACTTCATTTTAGTACTTCGCCAGCAAAACCAATCATTTTCAACAGAAAAGGGTCGGTTTTGCTCATTATTTTTTTAAAGGGTCGTTTTTGCATAATAAATTAAAAAATTTGTCCAATATAAAATTACATGTTCTTTTAAACATGTGTTTGGAAAGGAAAACTATGTTTATAATTACACTTCACATCTCGTTGTTCTTTTAAACATATTTTTAAGAGGGTGTTTGACGGGACTTATTTTTCAAGAATTTCAAACTAGGTCCTTTTGGCTTTCATGACAAAAACTGGGACGCGTTTGGCAACTGGTCAAACTGGCTTATAAGCCATATTGTGGCTTGTATTCCATTATAACATGTTTGGTAACTAGTTAATTTTGGCTTATAGGCCTAAAGAAAGCTTTCCTAATCCAGCTTGTTTTTTGGTGGCACAACACTTAGTTTGACTAAATAAATGTTAAGTTTACCCCTCAATATTTAGGGTAATTCCAAAGTTTGTTTGATATTTAAATTTAAAACCGCGTTTTTTGGTCATTTTGACAACAATGGTGGATTGTAATATACCTATTCGCCAAACACTCTCTAGTATTAAAAGTGGCTTATAATATTTTTTTATACCAAATACTCTGGCTTATAATCCATCAATTTGTCAAAACACTATCTCTATTGAAAAATGGCTTATACTCCGTTTTTTAAACCAACACTTTGGCACAAGAAAAATGTGCGGATAGAATAGTAATTTATTTGGTCAAACTTAGCTTATTATTTAGATGACANCCCCCCCCCCTCCTCAAAGGAAAAAAAAACTAAGTTTGTTTTCCTCATTCATTGATAGTTTGATGGAAGATATAGATTTGATCAATTAGATTGATAGTTTGATGGAAGATATAGATTTGATCAACTAATTGATTAACTAAGTGAAAAGTTTAGATAATAAACAGTTACATTAGTGAGAGGTACTAACAAACTTATAGAAAAAGTTTAGAATCATTTCAAAAAAAAATTCTATGGACATGTTCATGTGCCACTCATAATCTAAGATATTTTATCTCCTCCTCTATACAAATGGGAGAACCCAAGATTCCCTATTCATACTATAGTAAATGCTATATTATTATTTACTGTAGCATTATTAATGTAGCAAATAGGAAACGAAATGGTGTATCATTTTTTAAAAATATTACTGTAGAACAAAGGGGAATATTGTAGCATTTTTTGAAAAACTGTAGGAGAGACGGGACACTGTAGGCATTCAAAAATGCAAAAATCACTGTAGCATTTAAACACCAGGATTACTGTAGCAGGGAATAAAATGATATACCGTATGCCGTACTTTGCACGGTGTTCACACTAGTTTGAATAAATAAAAAAGTCTTTATCGGCCGGATCATATTAAATTTGAAATAATTGATATAAGTTTTTGAAATAATTGATATAAGTTTTTTCTTCCTTAGAGTTCTCTATTTATTATAGTCAATTGCACTTTTTCCTTGATACAAATTGAGCAATGTAAAGGCAATTAAAAAAGAGAATGCGATATTTTTTTGTAATAATAATTAGGTTCATAATTAGATTCATTAAGCTGAACCGAAGACACTAGCTTAAGCTTAGATAAATTCGAAATTTATATATTGCGCCGAACTGGAACGACCCAGCCATCCAGGGCCCCGCAAAAAAGGATCCGACCCGTTAATCCTGCCGAAATATATCCCAGGCCTAGGCGCCGCCGAGATCTGGTGACTGGGGTTTTACGAGGGAGATAGGGGGAGAGAGACGAAAACCTAGAAAACCCTAGCTCTCTACTTTTCTCTCTTCGTCAACGATGAGCAGATCGGGTCAGCCTCCGGATCTCAAGAAGTGAGGCCCTCTCTCTCTCTCTCGCTTGATTTCGATTTTGATGTATTTGATTCTTGATTAATGATCTGCTTAACTAATTCTTTGTTTTGTGTTGTTTGATTCCAGATACATGGACAAGAAGCTTCAAAGTAAGTTCCTTTGTGCTAATTTGTGCAATTTTTTTTTTCAATTTTTCGTTTGGAATTTATCTTTTATTATATGGGATTTTGTTGTTGCGTCAAAGCTTACAGAAAGCGTTAGGCAGCCTATGCGTCAGACTTGAAGCCTAGAGTCTATGTGTCTAGACCGGAGCCTAGAGTCTATGTGTCTAGACCGGAGCCTAGACATTTTTCCTATTTTTTATTTTTAATTACAGTTATTTGACAATAAATACCAATGTTGTAGAAAGTTAGGCGACGGCCGTCACCTATGTAATTTTTTTTAAGTGGTAGTGGAGGAGGTTTTGCTGAAGGTCAGAGGAGGTAGATGAGGTCTTTATAGTTGGAGGCTGCGACAAAGGAAATAACGATAAGGCCTACATGGTGCAGTTCATGTAGGCAGACCACACTCCCCTAGACGCTTTCAAAACCTAGGTTGGCAGTCTATGTGCTACCTACGCGGTAGGCGCTAGGGCGACCATGGAATCACCTAGGTCTAGGTGGGCTAGACGAAGGCTCTTTAAAACATTGGTTACATGCGATTAAATTGATATATTGCAATATAATGCAGAAAATTTTCTGTGCCTGATGATTGTGGGTAATTCTATTTGGTTGCTGAAGTTAGTGGTGTCCTGAGTTGGTGCAATAGAGTAAACTTATTCAGATTTGTTCACCTCTCTTTATTGAGTACTTTATTTAAGTAATTGACTTCGACGTGCGGGGAATATGAAGCAGGTATGACGCTCGAGGTGAACTCAACTAGCATTTTGTATTTGAATCGCTACCTCTCAAAACTTTGGAAAACAAGCTCACAACACATTCTTCTTATCACAACAGTCTTAGTATCTGTTGATGTTAATAATCAAACAGATAATATATTGGGAGTGAGGTTGATTAAGGGGCCGCTCCGAAATATTTGATTTTGAATTGAGTAGCTTCAGCCTGCACAAATTGCAATTCGTGAGAGGACGGGGATTAGACCTTCGACAGCCTTGAAGCTGAATGACAACCCTAAGGTTGAGTGTCTAGATCTTACGTAGGTACCTAGATTTTCAGAATCCTCGTATGGTTGAGTGGCGACTGGAGGATTCGACCATATGTGGTGTCTTGGGTTTATTCCTGATAAGGTACTAATGACTTGTTTACATGCCAACCCTGAGGTTAGGTCGCCTAGGACTTATTTGGACGCTTGGGTTTTAAATAGCCATGATGGTCGAGTAGCACTGGAGCCTGGAGGATTCGACCATATGCTGTGTCTTAGGTTTATCCTAAAAAGACACCAAGGGCTTAAAATTCGACTGAGGAGCCAAATGCCTAGAACTCTCGAGAGTTGACTAGGTCTTCGGTAGCCTTGAGGCTGAATGCCAACTCTAAGGTTGAGTGCCTATGTCTTACATAGGTGCCTAGGTCTTCAGAATTCCCGTATGGTCGAGTGACGACTATGAGAGTCGATCATAGTGTTGGTGCATTGGGTTTATTCCTGAAAAGGTACTAATGGCTTGACATGTCAACCATGAGGTTGGGTCGCCCATGACTTATTTGGACGCTTGAGTTTTAAATAGCCATGATGGTCGAGTAGCACTGGAGGATTCGACCATATGTTGTGCCTTGAGTTTATCCTGAAGAGGCACCAAAGGCTTAAAATTCGACTGAGGAGTCAAATGTTTAGAACTCTCGAGAGTTGCTAGGTCTTCAACAGCCTTAAGGTTGATAACAACCCTAAGGTTGGATGTCTAGGTCTTACGTAGGTGCCTAGGTCTTCAGAATCTCTGTATGGCCGAGTGACGACTGTGGGAGTCGACCATATGGTTGGTGTCATGGGTTTATTCCTAAAAAGATACAAAAGGCTTGTTGACATGCTAACCCTGAGGTTGGGTCGCCCAGGACTTATTTGGACGCCTGAGTTTTAAATAGCAATGATGATCGAGTAGCACTGGAGGATTCGACCATATGTTGTGCCATGAGTTTATCCTGAAAAGGCACCAATGACTTGAAATTCGACTGAGGAGTCGAATGCCTAGAACTCTCGAGAGTTGACTAGGTCTTTGTCCTTAGTGAAGGCTTGATCCTTGCGAGATAAGAGTTAATTCACATTTGGTAAGATTTTATTAGTACTGAAATTTACATAGTTATGGAAAGTATTCGTTGCAGACATCTGATGCTCAAGGGTGTTGAACCACTTGTGATCTTGCATTGTTTTTGTTTCAAAGGCAGTTTTGTAGTGGATGAGGCCGCCAGTATAGTACCTCTTTAGTTAGATTTTGCTTTTACCATAGCGAACATCTTGTTGATAAACGAAGATGAGTCAAAACTCTATTTGCCATCTCATCAGCTAATGTTCCTTTTGAGTTCTAATCTTCAGTGAGGCCTTGAAGGAGGACGGTTGGCATGTCGGTTTTTAGCAAAAGGATCTGTCCAGATGCCACAAATTATGTTGAATGGCGTTTTTCTGGTTGAGTTTGTGAGGGTTGGGGGCACGATCAGAAGCTACTAGGTACCTTTTATGATGAAAATTTTCTTAGGGAGAGAATCCAATAGCCGGTATTGTACTCCCTAGAAATGACAAACCATAATGGTTTTCTTGAAGGAACTTCGGGAGTACTGAGGGTTGGACCATGTTGTGAATGGAGAAGTCTCCCTTATGGGGATCATGCGGGTTGCATGCTTCGACCACAAAAGCTTAGAGTGTGTTTGGTAACCAAAGTGTTTTTTTGTTGTGTTTTTTTATAAAAACACCATGCCACGATGTTTATTTTTCAAAAGTGTTTTCAAAACTTTATTTTGAAAGTTAGCACATAATACACATCCAACCAATTAAACCTTACTCTCGCTCGTTGCCGCTTCCCACCACCAACCACTTGTCAACCATCAGTTGTCACAGCCACCGCGGCCGGCTTCGTCCGGTCGGCGGTGACAACCAATCACCATTCGGGAGCTTTTTTCAATGCCTATAATTCAAATTAAAAAAAAATCCTAATACGTCACCACCATCATGAAACAATGATGAATATTTGTTCAACATGTTCTAATGACATTGATAATATATATACATTAGGCTCAAAATGTATTTTGGTGACATTACAATATAATATACATTAATTTCAAAACACATCCCGATATTATCCACCACGATCGTTCCACATCCTTTGGGCCAAACGATCTCGAAACCTTGACATCTCACGAAGGTGCTCTGGACCGACATTGACCGGTATGGTTTGTTGTTCTTGTGCAGTCATGTCATCTTCTTCAAGTTCCACATCTTCATTTTCAAACTCGATAAAGAATGGATCTCCAGAATCATGCATTCGAATCACGTTGTGAATAACGCAACATGCTAATGCTATATATTTTTATTTTCTCAAACTATGTGAAGGCATCTCTCTTAAAGTTGGAAATCTTTTTTTCAATACCTCAAAGCATCGTTCTATAACATTCCTTAATGACGAATGCAAGTAATTGAATAGTTCTCTAGTCCCTTGCGGTGGAAGATTCTGCCCTCGATAATCATTCAAATGATATCGCTCTCCACGATACGGTGAAAGAAAACCCAACATATTGGTATATCCAGAGTCAGCCAAATAATACTTTCTTGCAGGGGGCATAGAGAATTTGTTTGCGGGATTGCTAATGCACTCTAAGAAAATTCTTGAATCATTTGCACTTCCTTTCCATCCACTCATAACAAATGTGAACCACATATCAAAAGAACAAGCACACATCATATTCATTGTCAGCATAATTTTCTTTCCATGATATGAAACTTGACTATCTTACGGCACACAAGCTAAAACATGAGTTCTATCTATAGCCCTTACACAATTCTGTCATGTAGGCGTTCTGAGAAAGCACAAATAAAAAGGTTGCTACTTGTTCTTGAATCGTCACGTTTCTAGAATGTTTTAAATTTCCAATTCTCTTTAACTCTTCACAAAAGTTAATAAATGCTTCTTTTTTCATTCATAAGAGGTCAAAACAAGTACCCGGGTGACCACCTAGAACCGCAATCACCCAATCATGCCCACTTAATTTTGAAATCCTTTGTGGTCGAGGCTGCTCCATAAAAGATCCATTAAACTTCATAAATGCATGAATGGTCAATAAGACTTGAAATTGCTCCTCATCTGAGATTGTGATGATAGTTGATAATCATTTGTATCTGTATTGCCATCCATACCTACCAAAAACATATAAAATTATAATTGAACACTATTGCAAACATAGTTTTGCATAATAAAATTTACATAAGGCATGAAACACATGTTAACAACATAAACAAGTATAATACCAACAACGTTATGGAAATACAAATATATAGGTTCAAAAACTAATACAAATACACCCAAAAGTCTTCAATCTACTAGAACACAAGCATAGTTTAAACACACACAAAAGTCATCGACCTACTAGAATCAAACATATAGAAACACACACAAAGTTCTTGGCCTAATAGAAACAAACACAAACATAAACAAATACAAATTTCTTCGAAACAAACATAAACAACATCAAGGTAGATTTAACACCTAATCCTTCTTTCTCTCGCTAGGCATGACTAAAACATGGTTCTCCATGATGCGTCATCATGCAAAATATGTGCGGCCTTGGAAAACCGAGTTGAGTCAACATCGGGAAGAGCACTAAGTGTAGTGATGCACCGAACCATTTCTTGTTCTTCCTTAGAGCTTCTTCCTCCCCCTCCACTAACATGACTATATGCAGTAGCCGAACTCATTTTCCTCTCCCTCCACTCCATTTTCTTCCTAGAGTTTCTCCCATCGAGGTTAAAGCTTCAACCATTGCTAATTGGATTTGCTGGTTCAACGGTACACGTTTGTTTGCCACTTTCGTCTTTTTCTTAGCTCGAGATGACTCAACATCTTCCTCATCTTCTTCCTTATCATCTTCACTAATGGTAGGACTTCTAGTAGAGGGATGAGCATGATCACCAGTAGCAGTTGTATCACCAAAAATGATACACAACTTGTCATAACCTTTGCAACCCTTCCTTCTAAAATATCTTGCATACTTGTGCGTCTACGTAAAACAAAAATTAATAATGAATTCAAAAACTCACATTAGGTATCTAATAAAAGTTGCATTAATCAATGAGTATTACCGCATACAACTTAGTCCACACATCTTCCGTTGCAGATATTTGACCGGTGCTCGCAGTATACCCAACTGCCGTATCCGTCAATAGACTTTTCAAAATTTTCCAGCTTTGTCTCAATTGGTTAAACTTATTTTTTATTTGGTCATGAGTGTATTCTCTCCCCGTCTTCTTTTTCAACTCATGCTCCATGAATTTCCAAGAGGATTTAGTAAATGTAGTTGTATGCCTATTTCCCTTTTTTACTTCTTCCTCCATCAAGTCTATGAAATAAAGCTTCACATTTTCAGACCAAGTTCCCACTCCTTGAGAAGGGGAAATCTCCACCACTTAGGGGGCGTTATTCATTGGGGTAATTTGGGGTAAATTGGGGTAAATTGTTCCAATGTGGTAATTTTACCCAATGGGATAATTTGAGTGGGATAACTTGGGGTAAAATGGGATAATGTGGGGTAAAATGGGATAATGAGACAATTTGATATTATATTTATAGCTCAATTAAATTCAAGTTTAACATCAAATGATTAAATAAATAATAGTTATAATATACAATAATATTATTTTTTAATATTATTTTAATATAAAATATTAAAAATAATATAATAATATTAATAATATCAATATTAATCAATCTTTAAATATTTTGATGTTTATTTTAACTGTTATGCTATATTAACAAATTCTGAGTTTCCAAAGCATCTCAGTCTTGAGTGATATCAGTTTCATTAATACCTCTTGCCTGCCATGTTTACATAAAATTCATTTCCCACAAAAATATATATATTATATCTGTTCACATCCATAATGAGTTCAGGCAATCTCAAACAGTCAAACTGTCACAGTATTTTTTTCTCAACAAAAAGATATGTTTGGCAATAACATAATACGTTCAGTTACATACATTCAAAACTATTTCCATATCTAACGGACACATAACATCCAACTGAGACGTGCTCTGTTGATGAAAGGGGAGACACATTTCCTGGAGCTCTAACAGTACAACTCCATAGCTATAAACATTTCCTGGAGCAGTCACTTGCATTGTGTATGCGTAGGAGCTCTAACAGTACAACTCCATAGCTATAAACATTTCCTGGAGCAGTCACTTGCATTGTGTATGCGTATTCTGATAATGAAACAATACACATAAACACCTGGAGCAGTCACTTGCATTGTGTATGCGTATTCTGATAATGAAACAATACACATAAACACCATAATGTGTTATGGGCGTTATTTGATCTTTTTGCATCAAAAGCCTGCTTCAGTCTGCACCCAATCCTAAATGACAAAGTACTTAACAATGCACCACCCGCAATAAGAACCCAATTTGGCCCTTTTCCTTGAACATGCTTCACTCTTTGAGCTCTCTGTATACTCCCATTTGCTTTTGGTTTCATCTTAAGATTAAGAAACGCGTTGCAGAAATTCTAGAGGTAAAATGAAACTTGGGAAACAGTCATGTAACATGCATGAGTAAGAAACCAACTATGCTAATGACGGAATAGATAAGCAATGAAATTTGTAGGACACTGCATGATTGGCTATCCCGGTTAAGGATAATGAAAGCAGGATGATCATTAAGAAACTGAAGTGTTTCTGTAAATTAAAATCAACAGGCTTATTCAACATGTAGTTAATAGTTTCCAAGAGGAGACCTCAGCATAGAGTTGTTGATAAATTCAAGAAGACCATGGTACTTAGGGAGGGAGGGGCTACTAACTTCACTGGTAGTATATCATAGACATATTCAAGGTGTAGCAAACATTAGAATAACATAAATATAATATATCCAATATCACAAATAACAACATTTCACTCTTGCACCGACATCAAACAAGAAGAAAAGACCTCACAGAGACAAGCAAACCATCGTTGAGAAAAGGGGGTGAGAAACAGTGCAAGATGCAGAGCAATCCTTTCAATTCAATCCAAATACCCAGTGCAAGATGCACTGAAGTAATCCATATGTAAGTAACAACTAAGATTATCTCAAAAAATTATTACTAAGATCAATATATCTCAGTATTTCTCCATGAAAATTAGCATCTAAATCGAACAATTTCATCTAAAACCCTAGCAGCACTGATAAAAGATATTAATCACAAAACCCTAGCATTCAATCAATCCCAATAAAAAAAATCAATCGGATCCCTTACCTCTCAAAATGTTTGACAAATCGGGCAAATCTGCAGCCGCGCTCCACATAAACCCTAGAAACACCAAAATCAAACCAAAAAACAAAATCTAATGCATCAAACAATTATTCCAATAAAAAAACCTAAAAATAAGAAACAAACTATATTTCCATAAAAAAAAAGAAACAAACTATAGAAAATTGGAAAAACTCACGAAATATCGCCCTCATTCAACCGAAATCGGAGCTCGAACTCAGATCTCTAGCTATCAAAGACGACGGCGGGGCGGGCTCTCGCGCTCGAGATCAAACCAAAAAACAAAATCTAATGCATCAAACAATTATTCCAATAAAAAAACCTAAAAATAAGAAACAAACTATATTTCCATAAAAAAAAAGAAACAAACTATAGAAAATTGGAAAAACTCACGAAATATCGCCCTCATTCAACCGAAATCGGAGCTCGAACTCAGATCTCTAGCTATCAAAGACGACGGCGGGGCGGGCTCTCGAACTCGAGGAAGACGATGGCGGAGCGGGTGAACGACCACGAGAACGACGACGCCGATTTTTTCCTGGATCGAGTCGAGATCTGAATGGGGTAATTTGCTCCCCTCTTGTTCCAGGAGATCAAATGGGATAAATTTGGGCTTGGGGGCTGAGTTCTGTATATATAGTTGGTGTAATTTAGGGAGAAGTGGAGTATTTGTCCCCAATTACCCCCAACAAACCAATAACACCACAAAGATTACACCAGTTCCAAATACCCCAATGAATAACACTAAACATTGTTGTTCCAAAAATTATCTCATTACCCCAAAAATTACCGCAATGAATAACCCCCCCTTAGTTGATATTACGATTTTCACTTGACATCTATTACATTCGCAACAACATGAAACCAAAAAGGCTAATCACATAAGAGAGTATAATTAGAATCAAATTAGGGCAAGGATGAAATTGACACAAATTAAAATATGTTTCTTTACTGGACCATCTTCACTTGTTACAGGTCATTATATTTATTGTGTTTATGCTTCTTTATGGCAAATTAAAAAGAATATTGATATGTCGTTAGAGAGTTTATTTGAATGAAATAAAAAGTGGAATCAAGAACATAAGATGAAACAGGAATAAAAGTATCCTCTGGTAATTCTGCCAGCATTTCATACTCTCTTTTCATTCTACTGTACACATTCAAAAGTTCCAAGATTTTGGATTGTCATCAGTAAGTTTTGTTGAAAGAGGTATATTTCATACCAAAACCTAGTCAAATATAGTTCCTTAGCTACAATCAACACACTTCTACAGTTTTGACTAGTGTGTTTAGCAAATAATTGGAAGGTAAAAGAAGAACAAATCTCAGTTATTATTTCAGCAATAAATGAGAAAAAAACCAACCAATTTTTTTCTTTTTTCATATGTTATTGGGATTCAATCAAATTAAAAAAAAACCTTGATTGAAATTGTTGGAGGAAGCGTCAGAATCGACCGGAGCAGTGACGAAGAGGCGACAGCGGCGACGAGGAGGCGATAGCGGCGATGAGGAGGCAACTGCGGTGACGTGGAGGCGGCAGCGACGAATACTCAGAGGCCCTGGCGACGTCGGAGGCTACGACGACGGTGTTAGGGTTGAGGCTACGTCGATGGGTGTTAGGGTTGAGGTTGCGGCGACGTCGGAGGTTGCGACGACGGTGTTAGGGTTGATGCTGCGTCAACGGGTGTTAGGGTTGAGGATGCGACGACGTAGGAGGCTGCGACGATAGTGTTAGGGTTGATGCTGCGTTGACAGGTGTTAGGGTTGAGGCTGCGGCGACGTCGAAGGCTGCGGTGATTTGGAGTGGCGGCGACGGTGTTAGGATTGAGGGAGAGAAAAGGGGATCACGTTGGTTTGGGGGAAAATGAGACACGGGAATCTCAAATACCTTTTTGGTGTTTTGAGAAAACTGTGTACCTTCTGCATTTTGTAAAGGGGCAGCCTAAAAAACACATTAGTTCCCAAACGTGTTGCAATGTTTTTTGAAAAAAAACGAAAACGGGAAAAACACAATGGTTGCCAAACGCTCCCTTAGGCAACTTTAGTGGTGCAGACGTCAGTTGAAGGGAAAGGTCGTTCTTCCTGAGAAGACATTCAGTTAGTGTGCCTAAGTTTTTCCCGCAATCTCATCTTTGGTAGATGGGAGTTTCCTTCGAAGAATTTTCATGGTTCGAGACGCCTATCACAGACTTAATCACTGTTCCTATGCTCATATGAGCTATTGTCAGTTAGAGCTTGAGTGATGTTTGGATCTGATTAGAGCCTGTGTTCTGGCCAGAGTTATTCTGTGACGACGATTAGAAGCCGGTGTTGTTTTTTCAAGAAAGACAACCACCCTTATGGTGCGTCTTTTTTTGGTGGGCTTTTAGAGGTGTTGAAGGTCGCTCTATCATCTAGCAAATTGTGTACTTGGCAAACACTCCAGAAAATCGCTAAGACCTTTGAGGATTACACCTATGTTGGGTCCTTTTAACCAAAGCTACCCCTCCTTAGCTTGAATGATACAACTCCTGACTTCATTTAGCTTGGATGATGCAACTCCGATGTTGCTCTTCAGGGTGAGTAAATTCAGACTCCTATTCAGAACTTGGCATGTCTTCTCGAAAAAGAAAAGTAACCTCACGGTGGGCGCCAAACTATTGATGACTAAGATCAAACAATCAATCGTATCCAAAAGAGGATAGGTGTGAATCCGGGGCGGGAACGGTTTCTCTTGAGTCCTCGCCGGGACGAGGTAGAGGAGATTGATGAAGGGGCCGCTTCATTCTCCGACTTTATGTCTGGTTCTTGAAAGGGGAGCTGAAGTCCACGTTGCACTGACAAGAAAAATCCGTTAGAAGGCGGGGATCGGTTCCCTCGTGGTTCCTCCGACGGTCAAGTTAGTGAAACTTGAGTGGAGAAGGGGAATGTCAGGAACCGGTATGGTTCTTGAGGTGGCAATGTGCCGTTACAGAGGGTCCGTTATGAGCTCCCCTGTGTGTGAAGAACTGTGTATTCTTTCTTTCTTAGAGAGAGAGCGAGTGAGCTAGCCTCTCTTGAGGTTAGGAGTCTACCTGTATATATCTCCGTCTTGAGGATAAATGAGTCACTTCTAGCCAAGCATAGAGAGGCGGTGGTGAAGTGCGGCCTAAGTGCCGAGTCATTCCTCGTTTTATAGGTGTCGACTGACGACTGGAGGGGAAGTCACTTCGGCACGGGAGAGGATGTCTCCGTATTTTTTGGGAAATGATTCACGTGTGCAGCTGACAAGTCATGGAGACCATTAGATTAGAATCAGGATAAGGCTTGTCCGAGGTGGACTAGGATGCTGACATATACTCTGGGGGAAAGGCCGAGGCGGAGGTTATTCCTCAACTTAGTCGACAGTAGAGAATGTCCATCAAGTCGTTTTCGTGAGTTGCCAAGTAAATGGTCGAGTGTCCTTAGTGGGTCGTCTTCGACGATAGAGTCGGCTGACCCCGCCTTTCATGTTGGCCTGAAAGAATGTCGACTTGATGAGTCGACGGGGTTGAGGTTTCTGCTGGGCTTGGGGCACTAAGTTGGTTGACAAGTCATGGAGACCATTAGATTAGAATCAGGATAAGGCTTGTCCGAGGTGGACTAGGATGCTGACATATACTCTGGGGGAAAGGCCGAGGCGGAGGTTATTCCTCAACTTAGTCGACAGTAGAGAATGTCCATCAAGTCGTTTTCGTGAGTTGCCAAGTAAATGGTCGAGTGTCCTTAGTGGGTCGTCTTCGACGATAGAGTCGGCTGACCCCGCCTTTCATGTTGGCCTGAAAGAATGTCGACTTGATGAGTCGACGAGGTTGAGGTTTCTGCTGGGCTTGGGGCACTAAGTTGGTTGAGGCCAGTTTGCCAGGGCTATGATGGTATCATTTTGCAAATTCTCATATCTTGAGTGAGTAAACACCATAACATGGGCTGACGCTTGTTTTGACTTCACCAGCAGGTCGTCCACATAAGCTTCCAGATTGCCGATCTGGTATTTGAAGACCTTATTGATAAGTCTCTGGTAAGTGGCCCCAGCGTTCTTCAGTCCGAACGATATCATCTTGTTGTAATAGGTCCCTAAGTCGGTGATAAAGGAGGTCTTCTCCTGATCATGTTCTGTTATGAAAATTTAGTTGTAGTCGGAAAAGGCGTCCATGAAGCTAAACAGCTCGTGCCCCACACTCTCGTCAACCAATTGATTGATTCGAGGCAGGGGGTAGCTATCCTTGGGGCAAGCTTTGTTGAGGTCAATGAAGTCCACGCACATCCTCCATTTCTTCAGCAAGAATTCCGTCAATGCTTCCCGTAAAGGCTCCACTAAGCTGGATCCTATCTTGACCGTCTTCTGTCCGTCCCGGTTGATTGGTATCTCCTAGAGCTCTTCCACCAGTCTTTTGCCGCTTCGTTGCTTTCTCCAACTGGAAGCAGACTTTCTCAATAGGCAAAGCATCTTGCATATCCTTATCATTCCTTGGTCAAGAGCAGGTAACAGGACTTAGCCTCTCGCTAGTTGCTCCTGACGATCCCGACTCCATTAGGAGTCGGGAACTTCAACATCTGGTGGTAGAGTTGAAGGATGGGCCCTGTAAAAAAAGTGGAGGGCGGTTCAGCCAGGATGACATTATGAGCCGACTTGAGATCATTACCAGGAAATGGATTTGGACAGCTGATTGCCTTGAGCTGCTCTCCAACCATTGAGGCGAGAGTAATCATCAAAAAGGGGGGTGTTCCCCCCGATGGCTTCTGTGACCGGGCTGTCCTCTATAGTGGAGCAGCCGAGATTTGTCGATGCCCATCTGGTTCTAGGCGTCGACATACAAGATGTACACCGAGCTTCCCGTGTCGACCATGATCCTCTTCACTTAGAAGCCTTCAATCCCGGCTGTTATGACGATGGAGTCGTCATGAGGTGTCTCGACGCTTTTCAGATCGTCGTCTCCAAAAGAGATGAGCTCCTCCGCTCTCGACCTCTTGTCACGCTAGTTGACCCGCAATGCCCTCTTGAAGAGGCTTGAAGGCTCTCACCAAGCTCTTGCCTCATCTGGATTAACACATGAGGGGGGAGCTTTTGTTTGGTGTCAGCCAGAAAGTGGTGGATGAACTTCCAACTGAGTTGCTGGAAGCTGCTGATAGACTTCTTCTCGAGAGCGTTCCACTAGAGCTTGGCCCTCCCTGAAAGAGTGATGGGGAAGTATCAGAAGATAACCGATTCTAATGTTTGGAGCATGCTCAACATCATAATAATTATGGACACGCTTGGAGGGATCTCCCTCGCCCTTGTACTTCTTCACGCGAGGCATCTTGAACTTCTTACATGGTGCGTTCTTGAGATTATCAGAAAGGGGGGTGTTCCCCCCGATGGCCTCTACGACCGGTCTGTACACCCGATGCGGTCCACATGGATTGCTTCCCTAGTGCGGTCCCCAGGGTGATCAGGGCCAGAACTCTTGCAGGTGACTACAGGATGAGGGAGGAGACGTTGGCGAGGTTCCTCAGGGCGAGTCGAACGATGTGGCTGTGGGGTTGCGTACTCGACCCGATCCCTCAAATGTTTGGCAGCAACATGAGGAGTCCGAGGCGGGACTACTTGATTTGCTCTAGAAGGAGGGTGAGTCTCCGACTGCTGGTCTTCAGAAGGCGGGGACAGCGAAAGTAGCTTGTTGTGGTTGTGGAAGCCGACTGAGGAGCTCGATGGTGAAGATAGCGAGTTTCTGTTGGAGGGATTGAGAGATCTGTTAACCTGTTTTTTTCAAGCTGAGCTTGAGTAACATAGCTCTGGTATGGTCCTTCAGGGTGAGACTGGCCAGCCTTATATTCAGAACCGGACATACTTGATCGAAAAAGAAAGAAGGCTCCGCGATGGGCGCCAAACTGTTGATGTTAATAATCAAACATATAATATATTGGGGGTGAGGTTGATTAAGGGGCTGCTCACTTCTCTGAAATATTTGGTTTTGAGTTGAGTAGCTCCAGCCTGCACAAATAGCAATTTGTGAGAGGACGAGGATTAGTTTCTTCGTAGTTCCTCCGACGATCAAATCAGTTGATGGACTTGAGTGAGAAAATGAAGAACTATGTGAGTTCTTTAGTGTAGTGCAATAGAATTCTCAGATATTACTTACAAAAATCTTGGAAAATTGCTTCCCCTGGTATTTGGAATAGTACCTCTATTTATAGTGGTGAAAAAATGGTAGAATGATAATCTCGGCCGAGTACAGGATGACGACAAACGAGTATAAGATGACGGCTACGTCAGCACCTATTCTACAAGGGACGAGTGGAAGAGAGATCACCTCAGCATTTAATGTGAAGTGATTGGGGGCATGGCGGTGTCGACGTGGTTAGATGTGTCATGAATACTATCGGGGCTAGAGGAATGATGGAGCCTGCCAAGTATTTAATGTGACGTTGACGCGTTGTCAGCGGGGGAGCTTCGAGGTTGAAGTCATCCTTTGGCTTGGCTGAGAAGTAATGCTTTTCGAGTCGACCTCGCAAGGTGTCGAACAACAGGTCAAGTGGGCTCGTAGCGAGTCGTCTTCGACAAGAGGACCGACAAGTACCGCCATTTGAGTTGACCTAAGGAGGTGTCGACTTGGCGAGTGGGCTAAGTCGGGATTCTAGGGGGTCCTAACCGTCAATTCGATTTGAGCGGTACACGTAAGAGGACACATGTCCGTTGCTAGCAAAGGGCCATACTTTGACGACTGAGAACATCGTAACAGCATCGATTAGCTTTTTATTTGTTTGATGCCGAAACACTCTCTGGGTCTATTTATTGTGGATAATGGGCAAATAGATCTCTAGAAGCAACCATAAATTCTCAACCATGTAAGAATTACCTCGAACAACAATTTTGAGGATTCTTTAGGATGGTTACTTGATATCGGTGCCCCTTTTTTAATTGAGATTTCACTAGACTAGTGTAGAAACAAGAATATTGGAAGAAGAGCCTTAGATCGCGCCTTTTTTACAGAAGTTATTTCTGATTTTTACACTCAGCAACAACTTTTCTACCCATGAGATTCAGCACTTTGTATATTTTGGATGGTTTAGTCCTTTGATGAAGATATTTGCGCTTGCTATTTGGTTCTCATTGCTCTTTAAGTATAAATTGTCAACTTAGATCTAAATGAAGGGTATATTCCACTTTACAGCTATGATAACGTGTGAATCTTGGAAAAGATCTTTCCGGCGAAGTTTAAAAGTAGATGGTCATGGTTAATACTTTGCTTTTATAGACTATGCATATGAATACTAATATTTCAAGTTTAGGTCTTTTGCATACAACGTGCATGAGAAAGAATGCAACTCAAGGTAAAAAGGTGTCTTATTTTCTAACTTCGCTCAGAATCGTTCTTAATGTAGAGGAATTTGGAATGTCACTTCTTTGTGACATGAGCTGTCTTCTACCCCTCTAGTGTCATGCTTATTTGCATTTGTTTGTTATCTGGGCAATGCTAAGTTAACCTTCAGTAATCTAATTCTTTGTCATATACCCCATCGTGCTTATGCCCTATACCTGATTTATTTCGCAGAACTTGATGATTAACAATAGACTTTAGGTTTCGGTACTCGCAATTTTGTTTCCCGCGGGGAGGCAATTGTTGTACACTTACATAATCAATCTGCTTTATTGGTTGCATAACTGATGGTTAGATATATTACAATTTGCCATCTCATCCATTTCAAATGCTATTCAATTTTCCTTTTTGGTATGAGAGTGCAATTGCCTTGATTGATGACTAACTCAAATCATGGCATCGTAAAAGTTCCCGTGAGTAATGTCATAGATTAAACAATCTTGATAGCTGTCCTTTTTATTTTGATTTGCATATAAGTTGGCTCCATAATCCGTATAAGAGGTCACTTGTGTCATTTTTGTCTTATAGGTCCTTTTGCATCGTGTCCATTGTGTCTCAAATAATGCTATATTACCAAATTTGATGTTCCATATTTTTGAGCATTCAACTGTGTGTGTGTAAGTGTGTAAAACTGCTAGGAAATTTTATTTATTTATGGCATAAAATTGTAAGAAATCATGGACTTTGTTTATTATAATTTGATGCACGTAAGGAACATGGAGGTTTGTTAAGTGCGTGATTCTCTTTCTGGTTTATTTGCTAAACTATGCTGGCCTAAGAGCTCTTCATCTGCAGTTAAGCTGAATGCTAACCGGGTTGTCGTTGGCACTCTTCGTGGATTTGACCAGTTCATGAACCTTGTGATTGACAACACGGTGGAAGTCAATGGCAATGAGAAGAATGATATTGGAATGGTGGTAAGTACTAATCTTAAGTTCGATGATTTCATGTTTTAGTTAATCATGCTATTGTATCCTACTCTGGATTATCTCATACCCATGTTGCAGGTTATCAGAGGAAACAGCGTTGCCATGATTGAAGCCCTTGAGCCAGTGAAGACTCAATAGCTTCCCTTGGAAATTACTGATGGTGTTTGAAATTGGATTTTAGCAAGTGAATGTGTAGTTAAATGCTGTATGAACCATGCTTGTGGTAATAGCAGTAAAAATTTTCTGAGTATTTCATGTACTTTGTTTACAGGAATGTAATATGCTAAGCACAACGTAGCAGGTCCATACTCTTTATCTTCAGAAATATAGTTGCTGAATGATTTGACTAGATAGATTGGCATGACTCTTAAGATTTCCTTTCTTTCTTCTTTCCTTCATATGATTTTTCAGATTGGTATGAACTGTAATATTTCCTTTCTTTCTTCCTTCCTTCATATGATTTTTCATTTGCTTGTGCCTTTTGGGTGCTCTGTTCTGTTTGACCGTGTAAATTCTCCGCAGTTTTCCTATGTTTTCTACGATCCATAAAATTTAGCGGTTTTGATGATTTATAAAGTTCAGGGGAGATTTGTGCAAGACCTTCCGAAGTTCTGAAACTCAAGTTTGGCTAAAATGGCAACTGTGAGCTACAAAAACTTGGAAGGCTGTGTGGTTTGTGAAAAATTACGATTGTAATTGCAGCTGCAATTTGTGAAAAATGACTAAGAGTATTTCGCAACTGTTAATCTCCGTTCGTGATGCTACCGTATGCCTATCACAGCATGAACAAATTGCATCATCTTTTTCTTCTATGTATATATTTCCAGGATTCTGCTGGGGTTATCATTAGATTATCCACGGTCAGAAAAAAAATGTTTAAGTATCAAAATCCTGCAGTTGATCCTTCTCTCTCTCTCTCTCACCCCTTTGTCTTTTGGCAAGAGCACAACATCATAGGTTATAATTCTCTCTTGAGGTTTATCACCTTTTGAGTTATGTTCCAACTTTTTACGGTCTTGTTTGAACTTTCTGATGTTGCTTCGTAGAAGAATCAGTAGGGCTCATAATACTGTCCACAAAGGCTTGTGCTATTGTATAGCCGAACATTGCGAGCACATATAAAAAAAAAAAAAATATGTTGCATTGTTTTAGGATTTTATTTATTTATTTTGATATTGATCTGCAAATTGCTGATATTGCTTTAGAATAAGATAGGGAGGAACAGTGATTGAGATATTATGTTTTTTTTTTGTGAATAACTTCTAGGCTTACGTTAATTGTGTTGTGCCTATATTTTATATTTATTTATAGCATCAAATAACGTGTGTCTAGATTATCCTCCTCCTTTCTTCTACTTCATACACAAATGTGCACTCCTTGGCATTGCACAAGACAAGACAAATGTTTAAATTTTCAAAAGTTGCCCTGACTTTGATTTGAAAAAAAACTTGATATTCTCCTAGCATCTTATCAGCATTCTCCCGATTGGCATATTTACGCTAACGAGGAATTTTTAAATTGCATGGTTTGAATATAATGCATTTCTTTGTTAATCGGTGCAAATTAAAATACTAATCACATGGTAATGTTTTGTGACCACTGTTAAAATGAAAGTCAATTTCATAAATTATAAGATAATCTTTATTTTAAGAGAAGATATAAACTTTTGCCGTTGGAAAATATTATTAACCAACTAATATTGAAGTATGAAACATACCCATTGTGAGTGATCTAGACGATTGGGAGGTTCTAATATGGTTCCTCGGACTTGAGTTGGATTTCGAGCTGGATTATTAGAAAAAATTATAAAACATCATAACTGTTTCCATCTATATGAAATTGAAAAACTTAACTCTTAATACGACAACTGTGTTTTGTGACTGTTAAAATATCCATCCAATAGTGTTGATTCAATGACGCACGACATCCTATTGTTGAAAAAGAGTGCTGCTACGAGGACCCAAAATATTTTCAAAAACAATGTAAATATCGCAAAGAAACTCTTTCTCAAGCTCATCCTTGAGTACACTTAGTCCCATTATGACAAGCATTTAAATTTATCCATGCTCTAATAATAAGAAACCGCACTATTATGAAAACTGCACGATCCATCATCCGAGAGATATGGAGGCAAGGATTAGTGCCCGGTAGTAAGCCGACAAGTTGCAACAATAGCGTTGAACAAAAATTATTATATATCTTCGAGCACTAAACACAACATAATTAAGCCCATAATCACACTCCCACAAGAACACCTAATTATTATTGTCTTATTTTACTCAAAGTTCAAATCCCCACTTTTTCATAATTCAACCCTTTTTTGTGCTTCTTTTTTGGCATGATTAGAATCAAGGTTCCTCTGCCCAAAATGCTCTCAACTTTTACGAGGGATGAAAAGACTACGAAAAGCTTTGACCTCACTTGAAGTTCTTCCCCCCTAATTATTAAAAGTTAGGACTTATGCTTAATGCTAGAAGTTGGTGGGTTTTGTAAAGAGGAGTATTGGAAATGTGTTTATGTGGTATTTATCTCCTTCCATGATAGAATAAAATGACAACCGTGCCCTCATCCTTGCTATATATAATCTAAAAAGGAGGAACCCAAAGTTTTTGTTGAAGTGAGACTGCAATCACATAAATTTCTGAGTAATAAAAGGTGTTAATATTGCTACATAGAGTCTATGTGCAACTAACTTTTTTTTATTTTAGATATGGAAATCGAACCTAAGATCGATATTGGGAGTATAAATGAAACTTTTCAACTCTACCGATCACTAACCCTTCAATTTGCAGTATATTACGAGGCGGGAAAAAAAGGAAAATAAATGGATGGTGTTTTCATGATTCAAAGGGTGTCTTTAATCTTTTGAGGAGGACATTTTGGGAAATTTATTTTCTCCAATGACTGCGCGCGTGGAAGGTGGACTCTCCACAAAAGGACCACCAAGCAAGCAAACACATTTAAACTCACTCACCTTCTCGTAGTGGAACTCCTCCCACGCTCGACAAGCTTCCCCATCCATGTGCGGGCCCCGTCTCTCACGTGTGGCCCCAAGTTGTTGCTCATCCTCGCTCCAACAAAAAAAATCCACGTGGACAAACGATATAGAACATGACATATATCACACTACAAACTTTGTTGCGTAATCAATATCAGACTGATAAATATCAGTACATGGCTGGTGTGATCATCAACTTCGACATCCGTGGTTGAGCGTGTGCCACGTTGTCTTTCTCGTGTTAGGTCGTTTGTAGGAACTTTAATCAGTCCAGAACATCACCCACATTCAGTATGTTCTGAGATGATTCGTACTTCATCTTATATAGGAAGAAGAACATTGTACATGTTTTAATATAGATTTTAATATTGATGTTTATACTAATACATCACATTTACAAAATATTCTGCCAGTGCTAATATTTATTACTTATGAAATATTTATAGCTGAGAAAAATCACGCAGAAAGAAAATAGAAGGCTATATGAATTCAATCGACACATCTAATTGGTGTAGTGTACAGTTTAAAGGGTTTTATATGGAAAACATCTTTAAAATAGGATTGTAATACATGAACCATATTTATTGTTTAATTTATACATGAACAATCTTTAAAGTATATTTTGTTTTAATCAATCACTAAAACTCATTTGTTATTGACTTTTTTTGTCAAAATTTCTATAATACCTGTCTTTCACATGCTCCCTCTCCTCTCCCTCTCCCTCTCCCCTCTCTCTAGGGCCTACAGATCTCAGTGGGCGGCACCAGCGGGGGAGTCGCAGTTGCCCATGATGGATCCCCGTAGGTTCACGACGAGATTGGGACGGCGCGACACCGGGGAGAGAGAGGAAGGGGGGGGGGGGAGGAGAACAACGGAGATTCCGTCGTCGACCACTGCAACACCCTTGCTCACGCTATCTGTGTGCTCGTTGAGATTTGTGGGCCCCAGTTCGATGCCGAGATCTGTGCGCCCTATAGATAGGATAGAGCTTAAAAAGAGGAGTTTTAAAGTAATTTTGATAAAAAAAGTCAACAGGAAATGGATTTTAGTTGTTAACTGAAACGAAATATATTTTAAAGATGGTTCATGTATAAATTAAACAATAAAGATGATGTCTGTAGTACACCACTATTTTAAATGTGGTTTTTATATACAAATCCTAGTTTAAAAGATCTTTGCTTATGGAATGTCATATCAGCATACACAAAACATGAATCAAACACTCTGCAAGTCTCTGGTAACTTCCAAAATATGATTCTCCTTGGATTTTATGTGAAGGATCCTCTGCATGATTTTTTTCTTCCTTCTCCCAAACACTCTTCTATCCACTCATAAGCATTTATTTTGTTCCATTCTGCTTTTATCCATGCGGAGCTGCTTGCCACGCTCGCACTTCTTATGGGGCCCGCACGCGTGAAAATTCAAGCGGGTAAGAACGCGGGGCTGTGCCTATAGTTTCGTTCTAGGAAGTGCATTTCAGGTTTAAATATTCTATTTAATTAGTCATAAAAGTTGTTGAATTTGCATATTTTGTTGCAGCAAGTACATGATTGTGTAAATCTGAATCAGTTATGCAGTGTTTATTGTAGAAAATAGTTTTTGGCATATGTGACTAAATCTGGAATAAAACAGATATAAATGAGAGAGAACTGAAAGTGCTATATTTTAAAACTTTTTCAAGTTAGTTGTTGTGCATTTGTGAAGCATTGTGCTTACAACAATATTTCCCTACTCCGGTGCAATGATCCCAAGGATAAACTGCTTCCAAGAACAGTAGTACAGTACAATGGTGTGCACCAACCAAGCACTGTCAAGATCTCCTTGATCTATAAGACCTTTCGGTCAAGGCAACGACCTCCTCGATCTATTAAAACCTTTCGGTTCAAAACCTTTTGGTTCAGGCAAAGATCTTCCAATCTGTAATAACTTTTTGGTCTAGGCAAAGATCTTTCGATCTGTAATAACCTTTCGGTTCAGGGCTATATTCCTTCGGGCACAGACTAAAGCTTGCACACTTTTAAACTCTGTAGCAGCACAACAGCTTAACAGATTCAATCTGTTCAAGTTTTACAACACTTCAGTGTGTTTTCCTCTCTCAAGAGCTGCCCCAAGGGGCACTATTTATAGGTCTCTAAGGCCAGCTCAAGGGTCATCCACAATCAATTTGGCTGTTATAAATTATAATGACAATTATGATTGTAACAACAAATTACTTAATTGCTGTAACTGTTGCATGCAGTAACACCTGAACGTGAGGGTCGCGTTTCTACGTAACGTGAGGGTTGCGTCGCGCCTCACAAACACGAGGCTCTCACCCTCGCGTTAACGCGAGGGTCGCACCCTCTCGCGAACGCGAG